GGAACAACGCATGATCTAGTGTTTGGAATTAATCTCCACCCATAAATTCTTTTAAAATACCACATTCTCTTTGGTCTTTTTCTTCTTTTAAATTTGTACAAAATATTTCAACATAAGCCACTGTTTTCATGATCCTCAAAAACAGCATGTAAGGCGGGGGGGAGGAATCATTCATTCCAGCAGACTTCCATGAAATATGGTTTTCACTTATTAAAGAGAACATTTCAGAGAGAATGGAAAGAGAATTATGTTGAAATGTAATTTTCAATTAATTACTTTTTAAATTATGTTGCCTGATCTCCAAATGGTGCCAAAAATGTAGAGTATAATTAACTTTAATCTACTGACAGTAATAGCTCTGGTTGTGGGTAGGTCCCCTTAATTGATCATTTCTTTTTAAACAATTTATATTGACCCAACATCTGAAAAATGAGCTGTTGAAAAAGGAGTAGATGTTACAGGGCCTTGATTCACACATAATGCTATGACAACAATTGCACACATTAATGCTAGTGCATTAGTGACAATTACATGATTAGCTGTGAAAAGCAATGCTAAAGCATCCCCAGTAAAAGTCCGAGTTTTGAAGAATCATTGATTCTGACAATGTTTCAAAACCTGACTTTTTGCCAAAATAAGTGGAAAAAAATCAGAGACCATATAGAGAGGGTTAATAAGCTAGAAAACATGAATTACATGAGAATGAGTACATGTTTGGTGTTTAAAATGTATTCCTAATGTTCATGTGGCAGAAATTCAAATTAAATTTGAAATTCCTCATGAAGATTGCCTTTGTGCATCAGGGTAAAGTTTGGTTTAAATTGAAAGTCCTTAGCATCTTCTGATCTAAGCATTTAATACATTTTTTACATTATTCATTTCGAAAGTTCTGGTAACCAAATAAAATTATTTCTTAGATAAAGCAGCATCCAAATTCTCATCTCCTGAGATGAAAGCTTATAGAAAAAAAAAAAAAATTAGAAAAATCACATGCTCTCACAGGCTGCTCCTACCAAATAGTCCATATGGCCAAATAATATTTGGATATTATCAATACTACTGATATATAACTGCCAAAATTTTCCCTTTATGCCTCCTATCAGAAACAATTACTTTGCAATATTTGAGAGCTGCTAGCATGTCTCTTCAAAGAAGTAAACTCAGCAAAGCATCTGAAAAGGAAATGGGAAGACTCAATTTTTATGCAATAACTAGATTTTTAAGTGTAACCTTGTACTACGTTCTCATGTTATTAAAATAAATTTATGCTAATTACTAAAATAAATCTGGAACGTGTTCACCAACCACTGCAGTCTCATCCCAGTCTTGTATCTGGGTAAGAAAAAAACAACTTTACTACTAGCAGGTTTTCTTTAGTACATGATTATATATGGGTGTAAGTATGTATATCCATATGTACTACACACATAAATACATATATTTAATATATAAATTTACTAAATAGGCTATATTTACTATAGAAAGGTAGGGGTTTTTTAAGAAGGAGTGCTAAGGCACATACTTTTAGAAGGATCTTGTAGCAGATTATCACCCAGGGTCTATTTTACAAGTATTACCAATAAAGAATGTTAGAAGAAATATACATAAATTATTACATACTAAACAAAGTGAAGAGTAGATAGCTTGCATTCTGTCCCAGCAGAATTGGTCATCTGAAAATTACAATTACTACAGAAGGGGTAGGTGGCATGCTTCAGACTAAAACCAAATAAAATAGCAAAATGAATGAATCCCTGAAAAATCCCTGTGTCTGACCAGGTAAGATAAACACCTGTAGAACTGTTTACAAGCACCATATAGTCCTTTATTACCCAACTATTACAAATAGGATGCAAACCAAAAACCACTATAGCACCAACACAGTATTCATCTGATGGCTTCAGAATTCTCACTGTTACAAATTAAACAGAATTTCAACATTAAATGCTGTTCTCTTAAGAAAATGTCTTTATTTGTTTTTGTTTCGCAGAGTCCAAATACCCATTAGCCAAATACCTCTCCCCTGCTATTTATTTTGCAACATTAATTCAGACATGTAGTGATCAAATGAAGGCACAGGGTAATACGATTAAAATTACAATAATTTCAAAACAGAAAAATACTTTTCCATTGATGTTAAATGCACCTTAGTAGTTAAGTATTATGAAATCTGTCACCGATGACTAGCAGAATAAATAGTTGTAACTCCTACTTATGTATAAACATTGCACCATCACATGTATACTTCAACCAAAATGCATCCATTTTAAATATTGATTAATGGCAATATAAGAAAGCCAAGAAAGACACTAAACGTATCCTTTCTGAAGGAATTTATTTCTGCGTTTATTTCACTTTAAGAAAAGAACAACTTAGCTGATATTTCAAATTAATATGAAAATATGAGGAGATAGCATTTTTGATACTCTGTAACTCAGTACCATAATTGGTACTGTATTTATACTCTGTTTTCATGCTGTTAGAGGAGCTGAAATGTTGTCAGAGTAGTCTGTCACTTCAATCAAAATATGTTAAAAATAAAACAGACACCAGTGTGACCCTCCACTTTTTGTTTGTTTGTTTTCCTTTATAAATGGTGTAGTTTCAAGCAGCATATTCTTTGAAATAGAATGGTCCCTCTGGCCTGAATATCACGACAGCTTAAAATTCTCTATCAGCTTCTATCTAAATACTGATGCTGGTACCCTAATAAACCAAAAAATGAACTCTTTTAAAATACTTTGAAACAGTATCTAGTGCACATCAGAACTGGAAAACGGTCCTTGAGTTAGCTATTTAACAAACTAGGAGAATTAAACATGTAACATGTAAAAGAAAGCAATATGAGGCTCAAAGCTTAAACATAAGGTACTCTGCAATGGAAAAAAGTAGGAAAAAAGAGGATAAAAAAGAGGAGAAGGAAGATATCAAGGAGGAAGAGATGTTAGCACAGACTGAGGAAAGGAGACAGAGGGACCACTGAAGATCATCAAAAATGTTCAAAACTGAACAGTTCTGCAGCAGAAATTGACTATCTGAAACATTTTACACCTTGGTGCCCTCAACACTTTCCACAGAAAGCAGGCTCACAGCCAGACCGCCAGCATTTCTGCCTGGCAGGCTTCCCAAATCTCTAGGTATCCAAGAAGCTGTTTCCCTAGAAATTCTGCCCGGAGAACCAGAAAAACACTGAGTGCCCGGTGTCTGAAGGGTAGAGTTTTCTGCTGGTGATACTCACAAGTTGCTAAATTTTTCTCTTTTGTAGCTAGAAAGATACAACATCCTTTCTCAGTGCTCAGTTACTTACATGTGAGGGACAGGCTTCTCCTACATAATAGATATCCTATAATTCTCCACATTCTACTAAGCCTTCTGTAAATTAGTTCCAATTTGAGTTCACTTTGTCCCATCATGTGGTCAAAAGCAGAAAGATGTGGTCTCTGCAGCAGCTTTTTATAGAAAATTAAATCTTCCTTATCTGTAGTAGAAATATTTCACTTTATATATTATAATAAGTAAGGTCTTTACAGCAAATTAGTATCTTCTGTCAGACCAAAGAAGGTAGCTGAGGGAAACAGCACAGAAATCCTTCTTTCAATCCATACTTCTGTGTGCTTGAAATTTTAACTAGTCTTCCACTTATGTCAATTGGCCTAAGACACTACTTTTTCTTACAAGTCTTTTCTTCTCAGACCACCATGGCCACAGGAATACTATTACAATGTCCCAGTAATATATTTCTCTTCTTCATGACCAAACCACAATGATGCTTTGCAATAATCTTGTGATCAGCTACCACAGACAGCGATTTAACGATGCCACTAGTCCCAGAGTACACCACACTTCTCTGCGCTAGTGCATTTCATTCCATTTCCATTTACTATAGTCCATAACATCATCAAGCTTTTCCAGTATAACAGTCAGATTTTTCTCCATTTTATCAACAATTCCCAAATTTGGTTTAGTGAGTTGATTCTGTTAGTATTCATCTATTTCTCTTGACAAGGTTATTAGCAGAAATACTAATGAGATTATACTCCAGACTGGTCCTAGACACGCTGCTTTAACCTGAATACCTTCTCTTTCAGGACCCGTTGCAGTCCCTCTGTTAGCTTACTAAAAAAGTAATGTTGGTCTTCTGAAGAAAAGTGAGCCCTTTTGGGAACGGGGAGTACTACTCTCAGTAACACACCTCCTAAAGCTCAACTGGCCTTTGACCTCAAAAAGTGAGGGGTTCCTACAAAACCAATCCTTTCAGTCTCTTAGCTTTTTCATTGTTCTCATGTTCCAGCTGCCTCTTCCCAGAACAGCAGAGCAGGGGTTTTTTAACACCTCTGAGCTACAAAGGAAGAATAACTAGGTCATTTAAAAAAATAGTTCATTTGATTAGTCCTTCCTCCCTAGATTTTTTTTTCATTGTATTTTTATACCTGGTTTTAAGCTACTGAAGCTTCTCAGGAGTAGAGTCTTGCGTGATGATCAGCTCTTTAACCGTTTCTCTTGCAATTGCTGTAAAGTCACAATCGCTTAAAGCACACTATAAGCCTTATTCAAATTATAAAATCTGCAATTTTAAGCCCGCTATGTATAAATGGTATTATATGGTTATAGAAACAGTATTTAATTTTTTTTCCTCAGATGTGTTATTGTCATTTCAGAATAATACAAACCATTATGAGATCTCACTAGTAAGCAGAAATTTCTGTGACAAGTATGGAACAACTTAATTACTTGCTCTTAACTTATTTTTCATATTCCTCTCAATTAATGTTAGCAAAATTATGTACTGTGAATGACAAAAATTAAAGTCACCTAGTGAAAAAGTCTGCCAGCAGAAAAAGAGTGCTCTTTGCTCTCAGCTTTAAATATTTGTCTGTTATCTGACAGAATAGCCACATGCAGTATTTGTTAATAAGTGACATCTCAATGGAAGCCTACAAAATAAAAGATACTGCTCCTATGCATAACAAAAGGAAAAAAATCAAACTGATATTACTTACTTGATTAAGTATATCTTGTTTCTGCAACGCATGCAAGGAAAGAAAGAATATACATACATTAGTGCAGTGTCGTAACACTCAGGCTCTGTTTTTATAACAGAACTATTTTTGTTGAAAGGTTAGTGATGTAGATGAACAGGTTTAAGACATTAGATAGAATATCCCATTTTCTTGCATTAGCACATATGTCAAGAAAATGGTTCTAAGTCAGCATTCTAGTCTTGATTAGAGTGCAAGCAATTTATTTTTAACCATGCAATGACAGATAACCAACAAAAAAAAAGTAAATACAATGTTTGTCTTCAATCCCTGTGTATTTTAAAAAAAACATAAAAAATTACTTGTTGCCAAGAATAGTCGTTACTGAAACAACTTAAATAGAAGTGAAGGCAATGATAAATTCCATAAATACATTAACAACAAAAGGAGGGCTAAGGAGAATCTCCATCCTTTATTGGATGCAGGGGGAAACATAGTGACAAAGGAGGAAGAAAAGGCTGAGGTACTTAATGCCTTCTTTGCCTCAGTCTTTAACAGGCAGACCAGTTGTTCTCCGGGAACCCAGCCCACGGAGCCGGAAGACAGGGACGGGGAGAAGAACAAAGACCCCATAATCCAAGGGGAAATGGTTAGCAACCTGCTACACCACTTAGGCATGCACAAGTCTATGGGGCCAGATGGGATCCACCCAAGGGTACTGAGGGAGCTG